ATATATATATATATATATATATATATATATATATATATATATATACACAGAGAGAGAGAGAGAGAGAGAGAGAGAGAGAGAGAGTGGGGATCCTGCTACCAAGTTCTCTATTTGCAAGTGCTACAGCCTACCCACATTTTGGGATAGGTTCGAATTGAATGTAGCGCGAAACTTGCACTTGACTCTTAGAAATCACAACAGGAGAACAGTGCAGCATAATCCCTGCCCTCAAGCAGCAGCCACAGATTGCATGTAGCATCCTAGGCCCTAGGGGGCTCCTGCACAGGCTTCAGGCCCAACATTTCCGTCCTGGCCCCCAGGCCGCACAGCCCCTTTGGCTGGGCGATGCCGTTTGAGTTCCAGGTTCATAGTTTCTGTCCCAGTTGCTTTTCTTTTCGTCAGCATTTATTTGTTTATTTTTTGCTAAGTGAGTTTGTGGCTGAGTTCTGTCTGTTCTATTGTTGTTTGTTTTAGATGTGTCCTTTTGGACTTTTCTTCCTGTCCAAGCAGGCATCTGCCTGTTCAGACAAGTGGATTTCAGATCCGGCCATAGCAGGCCAGGTTCAGATTTGTCCATATCAGGCCCCAGATATGGGGCTGGACCAGGCATTCGTCTATTTGTGCCTGGCCCAGCAGGGTTGCCTGGACGTCCGGTAGGGACCCAGGCAGGCCGTTGAGGCCAGGGTGGTAGGAGCAGGACTTGGGCCAGCCATCAGGACCAGATGCGACGTCCCCGATTGCAGACCCCGAGGGCCGCTCAGCCAAACCCAGCGGTATATAGCTGGGCGAGCCCTCCAATTGAGGGCATTCTGGCTGGAGCCTCAGTTGGGTGTCATGCTGCTGGAGCAGCACCAGTTTGTGAGAGCTGCGGTAGAGTAGCAGCGGTAGAGTAGCAGCAGTAGAGAAGTAGGCTGAAGGGGAGGGGTTGGCGGAGGCCATAGCTGCGAGGGAGAGAGACCTACCTGGGCACCATAGCTGGGACTTCACCCGGGACTGGGACCGGCCTTCAGCAGCGACCTGCATCAGGAGTCATTCACCTTCGTTGGTCAATATTTGTGGCATCATTATCAGGAGAGTGCGACAGAGCAGAGTTCTTCTTCTTCTCCTGATACATCTCTGCTCCTCCATAGCCACTGTTCTTCTTCCTCTTCTCCCCCTTCTTCTTCTTCTTCTTCTTCTTCTTCTTCTTCTTCTTCTTCTTCTTTCGAAAGATTTCAGGCAGTGACTCTTTCAGGCCTATGAGCACCCAGGATCTGATTTGACATTTTCGAAGAGACAATTATTTGAGAAATTTGACAGGGAAGCCCATTTTTGACGATGTATAGTTACTCTCATCTTCTCCCCCTTCGTACTCCCTCGTCTCCTCTCCATCTCCATCATCCATGGTTTTCTCCCCATGTGCGTGCACAAGGAGGGATCTTTCTTCAATGTTTGTCTCCCTCCTTGCTGTCTTGATATGTGTGATGATGCCTGTGTCAGTCGAGTCTGAGTCGCATGAGTCAGGTCATATCTTTGAGTCTTGCACTGTGTTACATTGCATTATGTCGTTTCTGTTCTGATGCACGCTGCTTATTTGCGAATGGCATTGTTTGATTTTGAGTCCTGTTCATCACACTGGCGCTCCTTGGACATGTGCATCGCTCATCTTCAGACGAGCATGCATCATTGCTCCTCATTCCTTTGCATGCCGCTCCTCCTCAACCTCTCCCTCCCCATCTCGGTCCATATTGCACGCAGCACCTGCTTCCGCATATGCAGGAAACACAAGCGGGGTGCGGGGAGAGAGAGAGGGAGAGAGAGAGAGAGAGAGAGAGAGAGAGAGAGAGAGAGAGAGAGAGAGAGAGAGAGAGAGAGAGAGAGAGAGAGAGAGAGA